CAGAAGAGGGGTGGAGAAGACCATCCACAGGGTCCTAACGCCACGGCCTCCTTGATGAAGGGATGGTCCAGAATGAAAACACTAATTCAAGTTTAATTTAATGAAGCTGGTGGCAAAGGAATATCACCTCAAAGGGAGACCATGCAAAAGAAAGGTCTATGTGTTGGGGGTGGTGTCTTTGTGGATGATTCCTACAGGAAATGCCAGGGGGAACTAACAGAAGGAACAAAGAACCCACAGCTCCTGGCTGGCTCAGTCGGTGGAGCGTGCCACTCTTGATCTCGGTCAGGGTTGTGGGTTCGAGCCCTATGTTGGGCGTTGGATGTAGAGGTTACTTAAAATCTTAAAAAAAAGGGGGGGGGGAGGAGCAAAGGACCAAGCTGGGGTACACAGAAGAAACACCATAGCCAGGAATGAAAAACAGGCCAGATAAGAGAAGGGGAGAAGCAAGAAGGATCCAGACCTCAGCCCCCTCAGATGTAAAGTGGGAACCAGAGTAATACCCATTTCCCAGGGCTGCCGTAATCAAAGGACATTAGTGAACACAGGAGGTGCTAGGCAGAGCACCTGGCACCCAACACTAGCTTCTCTACCCTCTTCTATGCCAACAGGAACGTACAAACCCAGAGCTTCAGACAAGACTTGGGAAGGGCAGTCTATCACTGAGGGCCCCAGATTACAGGAAGTTAAGAGTAGAAATCAAGACCCAAGAGTGAACTCAGGTAAGTTAACCAAACTCCAATTTCTTCATCGATAAAATGCAGCCCAGAACGCCTCTGCCTGCCAGTTGCTGGGACTAACAATATGGACCGCAAGTGTTCAACACAGAGCTGACGTGCAGTGTTAGTGGGCCCCCTAACTCCTGGGGCCCACTGTCCAGTCTTTCTTGGGTCCCCTCTACTGCCTGGAGAGGCTCCTAGAGGAGAAGTGCATTTTATTACTGCGAATGAAGAAGGCTTTCCTGACCACCGACCAGAGAAAGCCATGGTTTGGGGCGGCCAGGCAAGCAATGGCCCAAGGCAACTCTGACCCCCTCACGGAAGGACTCACTGAGGCTGCAGAGAAACAGTGAATAAGGAAGAACTGGAGTCAAAACGATGGCCAACAGAAAGGCTTGGAGCCGCAATCTAAAGCTACTGAGCAGGGCACGGCAGTGAGGGTACTTGACTTAAGTCCAGAGTATGACCTTCTGTGAAATTATCCATTGTTCACTACTGTGTTCATTACACTTGAATACTTAGATATTTCTGTATACAGCATATATGCAGATCATGCCTACCACACTTCCTGGGATATAGGAATTTTCAAAGGTCATTTTTGATGAATCCAGCTCTTTGCTTTTTGTGCTATCTTTAGATTCTAGGCCTGCATAACATGCAACCCCACTGAAGTAGAGCAAGAAATGGCTTTTGAATAAATGAGTAAGATGGAACTCTCCTTCGTGGAGTACATTTTCAGAGGGCCCTAGAAGCCACCTACATCTGAGGTAAGGGACTTGCTGAGGTCAGAGGAGAGAATGAAGACTACGGACAACGAGAAGTTCTCAAAAAGATTTACATTTCCGTGGAGGAGGAGCTCCCCCAAACACCCACTCCCTCCCTTTATGACTACATTTGGGTTTGTCAGGTTGGCATGACAACATGCCCTAAACCTGCTCCTCAGCCATCTCAGATATCTTGGGTTCCTTACATTCTAAGTGCTCAGGCCAGAAACTTGGACATTGCCCTCAACTCTCTTTTGTACATACCACCCCCACCTCGAATATCTGGTCTATCAGTGATCTCCTCAGCCCCACCTCAGAATCCCATCACTTCTCACCACCTCCACGACTACCCTCCATCACCCTGGTCTGACCACCACCCTCAGCCCTCACCCAGAGGTCACCCTGCTGCCCTGCCCTCCCTGCTTCTAGTTGATTCTCAAACAGCAATAACCAGCATGTCCCTGTTAAAAGCTAGGTCAGTCCCTGTCCCCTCTACTCAAAACCCTCCATCAGCTCCCATTCTCCTCAAAGTAAAATCCACAGACCTTACTGTCACATGGTCTTACATGATTCAACTCCCACTGTCTCTCTGACCCCAAAACCAAATGCTCTCCTCCTGCCTCAGGGCCTTTGCATCTGCTGCTGCCTCCACTGGGAACATTCATTCTGTCCTCAGATATCCCCATGACTCACTTCCTTCACATCTTCACTCAAAGGTGACTCAGGCCTTCCCTGTCTATCCTTCCTAAAATTTCAGCTCCCACGCCAACACTTAATACCTTCAATCCTGCCAGATTCTTCAGGGCATGAAATCTCTTTGCCTCCTCATCCGAGTGTGAGCTCCATGTGGGCAGAGAATCTCCATGCAGCAACCAGAGCACCAAAAACACTGCCTGGCACACAGCAGGTTCTCAATAAATGTACTAAATATGTGAGTATCCTAAGAAAAGTATAAGCTGCAAGCAAACCTCAATTATTCAAGTGTCAACGATCTAGAACCTACGACAAAATAACAGGCTAGAAATAGCAAAGCTGGGGAGAAAAGGAAGACAGTGCCATAAGGCACACACAGTATGCCTTATGGTATCAGTAATACACAGCTCAGTAACGCACAGCTTAACCTGGAGCAGGAATGTTCCCTAGCAAAAGAATAAAAGCCCAGACAGGCGGCCCTCTGAGAAGAGAGTAACTGGAAGAACAGCTGGGAGTAAAGATGAATTAATGAGGTTAGCTGGCATTGGGAACTAACCAGTGTGTTGGGAGTTTTATAGGCAAGGCCTGGAAACAGGTCAGGGAAGGACTGTAAAATGTTTAAATTAAAAAAGAAGCCTAAGAAGATTAAGTAAAAATAAGTTTTTTAAAAAGCTTTCATTTACAAGTACAAAGCACTATGTAATTGCAAATTATGACTGCTGACTTTTAATTCCCTTAAGCAAAATGGGAAAATTCCTCAAGATACCAGTGATGCCAGAAAGGAGTCCCCAAAAGGATCCCAGCTTTGTCTTTAGAGACACTGAACAGGATGGCAATAGCCAATTCAAGACTTCTAATAATCCCAGACCTTGGGCTCCTTGAGGGCAAAAGACTGAATGTTACTCAACAATGATTTGTTCAACAGCACCTGGCACCAGATTAGCAGATGGACTACCGGAAGGCTATGTGAGCTCGTTCCTGTGACACCTAACTCCTGCACTACTAAGACCTCTAGCCTTTGCTACACAAACGAGACAATGTAGCTGGCATGAAACCTAGCAAAACCCTCTACAATATTCTAGCCAAGTACTTTCATAAGCATTTTTGAAACATCCTAACAGACATTAAAACTCAGCTTCATTAACGTTGCCACAGTCAGAAAATACAACTGCCATGCAACCATTTGAAAAAAGAAAAAAAGTCAACATGTAAAGTTCCTGAAATACCTCTTTCCTTTAAAAAAAAAAAAGAATCACTCCCCACTCAGAGCAAAAAAAAACCAAGAGAAATGCCCTGGAATTCAAAGAAAGAATCGGTCGCCATTTTGACAAAGGAAATGGTCTAGAAAGCAGCTCCCGCTCAGGCTGTCAGGTGAAACAGGTAGCTTGGCCGGACACACCTGCTCACCTCTTTCAACTAACAGGTGTGCCATAAGGGTTTACACTGCACACCCACCGCTGGCCATTTAAAAGGCTGGTGCCCAAACGCTATTAAATTCTGCATAAAAGAGACCACTAGTGACAGGTTCACAAGTGATCCTGCTAGAGTCCACCATAACCCAGGACAGAATTCCGAATCTCTGAGCTGAAAGGCCCTTTATAAATCTCACCAGATTCCAGCACCTTCGGGGCTATCCAGGGAAAGTCATGTGCGAGGGTAAAAAGGCAGGTGTAGACAACTGGAAACGGTGAGGCCCCAGCCCAACAGCATTCAAATGCAAAAACATAAAAATAAAAAACCTTCAGCTATCCCTGATTCTTGTCTCTGGCTTTAGAGAGGAAGAAACTGGCCGCGAGAAGTCACATGGCTAATTAATGACAGCTCAAACCAGACTGCCTCGGGACTCCCGGTCCCATGTCCTCGCACATCACCGGCCTTCTCAGCACACCCAAACGTCAGCAGGGGCAGCATCGCCCCCCTCCCATCTTCCAGCATTGCAAGAATAAAAGTAACAGCCCCCGCTGACGCCGCAGACCCAGAAATCAATTATGGGTGACTTTCTTCCACCTGCAGTTGCCCTCGTTTACCCTTTGCTCTGACAATCAAGAATTTCTCATCAGTCATGCTTAAAACCCCCAGCCTGTAGGCCGAGTTCCTGTCAGCTACCCACTCAAGGGTATATCGAGAGTCAAAGGACGGAGAAAATTCTGAGCCCTTAAAGTAGTCACACTCGAAAATGTCAATTTCTCCTTCCAGCAAGGTAGCAAGAAGGGGAATTCGCGACCCCCGGGGGAACAGGCCGAAGAGAAAGGCCCTGGGGTCCGAGCAGCGGCTTCTAAAATTACTTGGCGCAGCCTTTGTAGGAGAGAAGAAAGCAAAAAATGTACAAGGCACCCCCCCGCCGCCCTCTTGATGGCCTTGAATTCCTGGGGCGCCGGGATGTCCGCGCGCACCTCCCGCGGAGGGACGAGGGGAGAGCGACCCCAGGACGCGCGGGCCGAGAGCCCGGGAGGAGGCGGCGGCCGCGGCCAGCCGGTTCCCGGGGGACCCACTTGCCTCCCCGCGGCGCGGCCTGAGGGCCCGAGCGCGCTGCGGCTCCCGGGGCGGGCAGGGTGAGCGCCCAGGGGCCCGACCCGGGCCCGGCGGGGCGGCGGAGGCTGGGGGTTCGCCGGGCATCCACGGGCCCCGCGGCCACTCAGGCCCGCGGGTGCGGGGACCCGGGGGACCGGCCGGGGCTGGGGGGGCGCAGGCCGCGCCGCGGGGCCGGTGACAGCGCGCGGGTGCCGTGCCAGGCCGGCCTCGTGGGCGCGGCGGGCACCTCGCGGCCCGGCCCGGCAGGTGCGGCTCGCGGGCCGCGCGGGGGACGCGGCGGCCCGGCTCTCACCTGGCTGCAGCTCACTGGGCTCCCGTCCTGCCGCCGCGCCTCGGCGCCGCAGTGCCAGCCGCCGCCGCCGCCGCCGCCGCCGCCGCCTCCGCCTCCGGTCCCCGCGACAGCCGCCTGCAAAATGGCGCCGCGGAGGGGCGGGCCGGGGGCGGGGAGCCGCGGAGCCGCCCGCCCCCGCGCCGGCCCGGGACCCACCTCCCTCTCCGCCCCCCCCCCCCCCCCCCCCCGCCCCCCCCCCGGGGGGGGGGCTCCCCCCCCCCCCTTACGCGGGGTCCCGGGCTGGGCAGCCGGCCCCCACCGCAGCCGCTCCCCGCGGCGTTCCCCGCGCGCACCCCGACCCCAAGTCCCTTTGAGCTCCCTCCCCTGCGTGGAAATCGCCCCCCTCCTCGCGCCTTCCCGCCACACCTGCTCCTGGGGCCCACCTGGAATGCAGAGCGCCCGCCCGGAGTCTCCCCCTCCTGGCTCCCCCCTTTACCCTGCCTGACACTGAGCCCTGTCATCGCTGCGGGAAGATAATCGTGCAGTTGGCGCGATGCATTGGGCTCAGGGGGCTGGAGGTTTTAAGGCAATTTCGCCGTTTCTCGGGTTAGGCCGACAGGTTTTTTAACTTACTGGAGGAGAGGTCCTCATTACATCATGTAGACATGGTAATACAGCCGGAGGTTTCTCAGACTCCACTGCCCTGGGGATCGTGTTTAACTGCGGGTTGTGATTCAGCGGGTCTGGGGTGCAGCCCGAGATACTGCATTTCTAAAAAGCCCCCGGGGTGATGCCGCTGAGGGGAAGGGGCTGCAGGTAAAATTTAGCGCATCGCAAGCCCCTCCTTGAGCGCTTGGGTGAGACGCACGTGGTTGGGCCCCACCCCACCCCCCACCCCCCCGCCCGGGCTGCTGAGGCCGGAGGTCTGGACTGAGAGGAACTTGCATTTCTGACAGCTTCCCAGGTGATGCTGCAGCTGCCGTCTCATGTTCACACTTCGCGAGCCACTGCTGAAGACTATCTGAATACACGGCCAGAAACGAAAAAACACTAATAATAAGCACTTTCTTAGCACCTTCCATCTTGAAACCACTGTGGTGGTTGCTGTTTCCATGGAATAATAACTGACTAGTTCCCCCAAGCAACTCTCGAGAGAGCTGAAAAATTGTGGACTGTGTTTGACCTGACATGGGGAGGAGCAGATTTCATCATCGGACTTTTCTGCCTGTTTTACACAATTTGGGGAACCCCATGTTATAGGTATCAGTGGGGGGGGAGTATGACTAGCAACTGGGAATTTCATCAAAATCAAAGTGTAGTCTGTAAGAGTAATGTCATCATGTTTACCTGTCTAATAACTTGTATGTTTAAAATACAAGAGTTGGCTTGTAAAATTCAGTACACATTTTATTGTATGTCAACTATACTTGAATTTAAAAAACATTTTTTCTACATTGGAAGGTCAGGTGTTCTGATCCTCACTGAAGAGGGAGGAAGTAAGAGATGAAAAGCCTGTGACCAACACCTAGAGAAAAATGCCCGTCCCCTCTCCATGTAACATCCTCAGCAGTGAGAGTGTTTTCTAGCCAACCTTTATTTTGGGGGGTGGGGAGTACTATGGGTCCTGCTCAGCCAGGGATGTGAGATCTGGGATAGAAAAAGGAGGGAGTCTTCAATGCATCTTCAGGGTCTCTTTCTCCCTCACAGATTTTCTCTATCCTAAAAAAGCTCCCACTATCCCAGCCTCTCTTCCTTCCCCCTCCTTCCCATCACTCCTCAGGCTGATGCTGTCACTCCCTGCTTTCTCAGACGTCACCAGTGACCTTCTAATAGCCAAATCGAATTGCCTGTTTGGAACCCTTATTTTCTATGGAGACAGCTCTGTAACCTTCCATTCACTTCTCCCTCCTTCTTGAAACTCTTTTTTTGAGATAATACCACTGGGTCTTACATGTCCTACACCCCCCACTTCCTTCTCAGTGATGTAAGAGTTGCCCCATGCTCACCCCTAAAAAGATTAGTTTTTACTAACATTTCCTTTCTCTCCCATCTTTTCCTTTGCTCTTTTCTTCTCGAATCCCCTCTGAAAGGCAACCATTTCCTCATGGTTCCCAGCCTCTCTCTCTCTCTCTCTCTCTCTCTCTCAACCAGATGTCTTTCTGAACTTCTGGACACACATTTCCAATTGCCCTAGATAACCTCCCTAGATACTACCCAGGAATTTTAAATATGGCATCTCCCTACTCCTTCTTCTCCTACTACAAACTTGTTTCTTATCTGGGTCCTCCCATTTTGCCACCAGAAACTTTGAAGTTGACTTTGACTGCCTGTTCTCAGCCCTCATGTCCGTTCTGTCAACCTATGTATGGCCAGTTGGAACAAGGAAGTGTATCTGGAACTCTCTTCTCTGCATGTACCATCCCAGACCCTCACTGGCTCCTCCTTGGACTATTGAAAAAGTTTCTCTCTGGCCTCTTGGCCTCAAGAGTTATCTCCCAAAGCCATCCTTGTTATCATCCCAAAACACAGAATTGACCACTTCCCCTGCTTCTGGGAATTCTTGGGGGCCTCCGGGTCCGGTTAAAAAAAAAAAAAAAAAAGAATATAGGCTATTTCCCAGCACAGCATTCAGGGCCCTTTGCCAGCTAGTCTCCAGCTGCTTCTTTTTTTCTGGACAAAGTACCACTTTTTGCAGCTAGCAGATGGGAGTTGGTATCAGGGGATGACCTTGACTTCAACCTTGCAGGGTTCTTGTGAGGATTAAATGAGATCTTTTAAATAAAGTGCTTATTCAGGGCTGGAATACATAAGTATATTTCACATAGTCAATATGTATCCATGTCCTTATTTTTATATAATTATTTTTATCATCAATTCAAAAAATACATGAATAATTTCCTAGTCGTTTCATTTTCCTATTTCCTATTCATTTTCCTTTCCTAGTATAGAAGATACAAACAGGGTTTTTTTCTTTCCACTTAACTTCTCTAAACTAAATCAGCAGAACGTTTTGTGACCTGGATAATTTGATTGAAATTTCTGTCATTTCCAGGCTGTGTTATTTTTGAGAGGTAATTGTAGCTTGGGGGCTATTCCATCTTTATACAGTGCTTTTCTTTACACTATTTATTTCCGATATCTCTCTGGAGTATAGAACTGAGATTGGCAAACTTTCCACAAAGGGCCTGATAGTGAATGTCTTAGGCTTTGTGGGCCAAGAGGCAAAATCAAGGATATTATATGGGTGGTTATAAAATGAGAGAAAGTGAATTTCCACAAATTTTTTATTGATGAAATTCAAAATACAACAATAGCAATTGGGTATAAGCTTTTTTGTTTATTATTATTTATTTATTTGACAGAGAGAGAGACACAGCGAGAGAGGGAACACAAGCAGAGGGAGTGGGAGAGGGAGAAGCAGGCTTCCCGCGGGGCAGGGAGCCCGATGCGGGGCTCGATCCCAGGACCCCGGGATCATGACCTGAGCCGAAGGCAGACACTTAAAGTCTGAGCCACCCAGGCGCCCCATGAGTATAAGCTTTTTGTAGTACAAGTCTGTTAATGAGAAGAACAGAATTGGGGGGCAATAGGGAATAAGATTTGCTTAATTTGACTCAAAGGTAGTGTCTCCTATCATCAAATCGGTCACAAATGCGCATCTGTAAAAACCATTCTTAGATGGTACAAAAACAGGCCGTGGGGTGTAGTCTGCCAATCCCTGATCTTTTTTTTTTTTAAACAGATTTTATTTATTTATTTGAGAAAGAGAGAATGAGAGAGAGAGCATGAGAGGGGGGAGGGTCAGGGAGAAGCAGACTCCCCGCTGGGCAGGGAGCCTGATGTGGGACTCGATCGCGGGACTCCAGGATCACGACCTGAGCCGAAGGCAGTTGCTTAACCAACTGAGCCACCCAGGCGCCCCTGCCAATCCCTGATCTAAACCATAACTCCCCTCACTTTGGGTTGTCTCCTCAGGGTAATATGGGGCCAATATAATTTATAATAGATCTTCAGTGATAGAAGAAAGCAAAATGACAGTCATTTCAAAGTCTTTTCTTCTAATTCTGAGAAAGTGCTTGGAGCAGAGGGTGAAAGCGTCATCCATACACCCTGTCTTGGTGTCAGACGAAGTGACACTTTCTAAGTCAGACTCACACTGGGATATGCCCGGGTATGAAGCAGCCTGGGAGAGCCCAAGATCTGCCTGAATAACCTCTCTCTCTTTTTTTTTACATGCTCAAGGATGTTCATTGCAGCACTGTTTCAAATAGGAAAAAAAACAACTGAAACTCAACCCAAATGTGCATCAACTGGGGAATGGCTGAATAAACTGGAGTATATTTTACTGTATGAAATACCACGTAGCCCTCACACGGCCCCCAGCCCCATGCTCTTTTTAAAATTGTGATATAATTCTCATACCACAGTATTCACCATTTAAAGTATACAGTTCAGTGGGTTTTAGTATATTGGCAAAGCTGTATGGCCATTACCATTATATAACTTCAGAACTTTTCATCACCCCAAAGAGAAACCCTATACCTATTATCAGCAGTTCCCCCGTTCCCCCCTCCCTCCAGCCCCTGGCAACCACTAATCTGCACTCTATTTCTATGGATTTGCCTATTCTGGACATTGAATATAAATGAAATCACATTAATATGTGGTCCTCTGCAATCAGCTGTTTTCACCTAGCACAATGTTTTCAAGGTTCATCCATGTTGTAGCATGTGTCAGCACTTCGTTTCTTTTTCTTTTTAAGATTTATTTATTCATCTTAGAGAGAGTGAGAGAGAGAGAAAGAGCGCACGTGCCCACGAGCTTGGGGGGGAGGGGCAGAGGGAGAGAGAATCTCAAGCGGACTCTGCACTGAGTGTGGAGGCCAAGGCCAGGGATCAATCTCAAGACCTGAGCTCACTTCCTGAGCCGAAACCAAGAGTCCCGACGCTCAACGGACTGCACCACCCAAGCGCCCCTTGTTTCTTTTTTAAATTGCAGTGAAATAGCTCTATAACATAAAATTTACCATTTTAACTCTTGAAGCGTACGATTCAGGGGCATTAAGTGTAT